TTTATTTTAGGCTGCTAATTTTCCAAATACATTTTTTTTTATTTACTTTCTAAAATTAACTTTTATAAATCGACTCTATGCCTTTTCGATTTACATTTTTCGTCTTAAGATGGTATTGTAGCCTTGAAAACTATACCAAAAACAGCGTAACGCCTTTGAGAGCGAACTTTGTCTTACGCTGTATATATTCCAGGTATTGGGGGTGGGGTGGCCTTGGCGGTGTCGCTCGACATCGCCAATGCGTTTAACACCCTGCCCTGGTCCGTGATAGGGGGGGCGCTGGAAAGACATGGAGTGCCCCTCTACCTTCGCCGGCTGGTCGGCTCCTACTTGGAGGACAGATCGGTCACGTGTACCGGACACGGTGGGGTCGTACATCGGTTCCCGGTCGTGCGCGGTGTTCCACNAAAAAAAAAAAAAAAAGGTATAATTATTCTTTAAATCTACATTTTTTTTGTAATCTCTGAGATATGCCTCGAATTAACACCAGATGGCTGTTTGGTGGTACTGTCACTCTGTGCTTACGAGGCAAATGTAAATCACACACTAATATTAAGACGATGTTATTAGGACGATAGCTTGCTAAGTTATTTACAGAAAATAAAATAAAAATGAGTTTTATTTTTCGAAAATTCAACAAATTAAATCAAAATATTGACTGTTTAGACAACCCATTATAAATAAATCATATCAAGACAAGTGGTTCGTGACAAAAATAGCATAATAACTGTCAATAAACTGTCCGCTAAGTCGGAATAACGATATTACTAACAAGTTGTTAGACATCCGATACTCTGGGTATGGTGTAAGGGATGCACGCAAGCGATTTGTGATGAAATTTTGGTGAACTTAAACTGGCTAATTTTAGATCAAAAATATTATATACGTTATTATAAATATTTTAAATATAAGTGTCCTTAAATATACGCATGTTCCTATGCTTTGGCATGCTATTTTCATTAAAATACCTATGTGTAGTATTATTCTTATGACTTTCTCTTTGATATTAGATCAGAGAATGCAATCTAACTGAGCAAATCAAATCTCACTGAGTTTGTCGCCGGATCTTCTCAGTGGGTCACGGTTCCGATCCGGTGGTAGATTCTGCGAACATCAAATATCAACTTGTCTGGATTTGCAATACGCCCGACCAAAGGTCGTTAATATGTCAGTAATAGTACTTTAGTAATCAGATATGTATACATATATTTTATAGAAGAAAATCAGGTGATGCTAAGAACAGCTGATGACGGATAATAACTAGTGAGAGTAACTGAAACAGTAACAGATTACATTCCGTTCTCGTATCTTGTAATAAGTACTCGAACATTCTGTAACATCATCATTATATGGCTACATAACATGGCAAACATATGTTTTGATTCATTTAGTTATTCGTTAAATTTGCTCCAACATTTCTTGATCAAACTAACGAAATACAATTCATGTTTTCATCATAAATAATTTCGTTTCGCTAGTATTGAAATACTTCAATCAGTTTTTTCCACTATCTTATTTTTATTACGTTATTATGTTATTTCCAACGTTTTGAATTCCATACGGATAAGGTAGCCATGCACGATAATCGTCCGCGACAAACAGATCTAACCATACAAGGGGCTTTAATTATTTCTATGACACACAAAAATCGAAGAAAATCTAAAAGAAAAAAGTGTGTGTGTGCAAGTCACACATGGTAGAAGTGAAATTTATAAAAAATTAAAATTATCGCAAGGGTCAACCACTCCGCAGTGCAATGAAGCAGCCCCGCCCTGGGGAAACCGCCTGTATATTCACGGTATTCCTAAGCCAGGTAAGTATGATTTAGCAAGAGAAATACGAGAACGTACTCAGAGTCCCACGACGGCGTGCACGGACGTCAAAAAAACACTGAACTACTCGGGGACGCGAGACCGTGTGGAGCGCTTCGTGATTTGTCGGCGTTCGGCGCCGCTTCGGCAAGCCAATCGCGGCACACTTATTTTTTCGTTTCGTTTAATTTCGTTTCATCGAGTTTGAAATCACAACGATTCTAAAGAAGTTTCACTTCAAAATATTACAACAAAAATCGCTGATCGCTTCTGACTTAATGGTTGAATGTCGTGAAGCAGTTAGAAGTCAGCCACAACCGTCCTTCACGGCTGAACGGGCAGCTCGCGAGACGCGCACCTCTTGCACTTGGAAATTGAATCCAAATTCTAACGCTTCATTCGCGTATTATAGATAGAGCACCAACGAGATTTTTTAAAAATACCCTCATTCCAAGTTTGTAAATTAATTGATCGAATATACGATACCGTGAAATATGATAACGTTAATGCCGCAATTTACATTTGAAATCGTGGTCCCTAGACACGAGTCGGTCCTCTCTTCCTAATCGCAAAAAATATTTCGCAGCACATATAGACAACATGTTGATATCTACGTCTGCTGACAGACAATGACAACACGTATTAATTACTTACAAAAGGTCGATTGGCCTCTTTTTTTTCTCATCAACCGTTATTTAAAAGAAAAGTCGCTTTATTATCGAAATATTTCAACGCCAAGCGTTCGACAGCTGTTCAAAGCGCACAGGCTACAAAGTAACGAACTTCGCACAATACAATACTGGTGCCCCGCGTATTTACAGTTAAAATCCCGTTTTAGGAGTCCAAATCGATCTGTTGCGTCTATCCAGGAAGCGAGAGGTCTTTGGCTCCCGCCGGAATGCGAGCCGCGTGGGTGGACTGCTCAGCTCCCATACACACGGCTTTCTATTGATTTAATGAACACTATCTAATCTTTCCCAATACGTCTATTACGGTCACTTTACGCGTTTTCTGTTGCTTCATACGTTCAATTGGTGACTGACCCTATATATACAATTCGAATTTTAAGTAGCTCTTTGTTAATAACTAAAACATTAAAGTTTTTAGAGATTGTGGACAAAATTGTAACGAATATCGACAGCTCCACTTGAGAATGGTATGTAGGTTTTCAATAATTACGATTGGAAATTAGAGGTTAAGATCTAGAAACCTAAGTTAAAGAGTTTGTCGCAGATATAAAGTCGGTATAAGTACTTGTGTCGAAAGATGCATCTGCGCCGGGGTTCAAATCCTAAGCGAAGATATCATTTATTTCCAAATATATGTGTATCTAACAATGACTTCTTTCTTGGGTTTCGGTTTGAAGGGTCGAACAAAAATTAAACTATACCATTGAGACTTATATTTCGTGTCTCAATGTAAGCGGTAGTATGTGATGTCTATGAGCTCACTTCACACGATTGGAACAGTGATCTCGTCAAAAGCAATAAATAATAAGAACAAAAGTTTCTTGAAATTAACTTAAAAAGTAAAAGCGAATTTCACATTGATTTTTGGAACGAAGTTCCTTATGGGACGATGGGGGGGGGGGTACCTTAACCGTCCATAACGTAAGATTTTTTCTATTTAGTTTGTTATCAACAGATATCGCTGCACGTAAATTCAATAATTCCTGAATCGCGATGACGAGATGCTACACAGTTGATAGGCGTTCTCGTATTTCTCTTGCTAAATCATACTAACCTGGCGTAGGGGATACCGCGATCATGCAGGCGGTTCCCCCAGGGTGAGGCTGCTCCATTACACTGCGGAGCGGTTGACCCTTGCGATTATTTTTATTTTTATCAATAAAAAAATCATAATAAAAAATGTATACGCTAATAATTATTTTCTTTATACCTCGAATAGAACTTAAAATTAATATTTTTATAATAAGGAACTTCGTTCCTATCCGGTGTCCCACGACACCACACTTATTTTATTCATATTAATGGACGTCATACCTGAGTTTTCCAAAAAGGATTAACACAGCGGGATTAACACACACACAGTTTTTCAAAATTTATTGTCTCTATTAAACTGAAATTCCCACGGAGTAATAAAACGTTAAGTTCAGCCCGTGTCATCAGTGTTTGATTGGCGATAAAGTCACGCGGGAACGGCGGTACTGTGCTAAATGGTGGTTAATGTTATTTGCGCCTTTTAATACATTAACGACTCATAAATTAATACGAGAACATTAAATACGAATATCCGATTCAATCTTAATACAGACATAACATTATTGCGTTTCAATTATGTGAATTTATGAAATTGCTCTCTACAAACTTTATAATCACCTAAAAAAATCTTTTTTTTTTCCTACCTATGCTGATAGCCTTGAGAGGCTATTTCAGCGTATCCTTAACTAATAGGTGAGCTCACGAGGCTCAAACCGGAGTGATGCTAACACTGACCCTAGCAAGAGCAGTGCTTCGCAGAATCTACCACCGGATCGGAAACGTAACCCACTGAGAAGATCCGGCGAGAAACTCAGTGGACTAAAAAAATCTGCGAAATGCTCTTGTATATATAACTTTTGAAGGTGCAAGGATGTATTGTGCGCCCGTGCAGGTAACTAATGCCATTTTAGCTATTTCTGGCGCAGTCATGCATCCTGTTTTGAAGAGTAGGACCACCGGATATGCAATAATGTCTGTTTGGGAACTACGTAACGCCGAGTGGGTTGTGATCTCATTTGTCGATTTAGAGAAATAATAAAAATCTACTCTGATACACTATCATTGATAATTTTTATGCATGAGTAAGCATGGATTTTCCGATCTACTCTATCTTCGATTGAAAAATCAATAATTTAACATTTCAATCGAGATAAAAAAATCTTTTTTTTTACGAGATCCCAATAAAAATCACAAACGCATCATTTTGTTGAACTAACGTGAAATTTGTGAATAAAATTTAAAATTATCTTAAATAATACTGAAACAAAAATCTAATTCATAAATAAGTCCAATACGTGTTTGACGCTACCTATTGGATTTTACCATTGTTATACTTTATCACCTTATATTTCGCGATAAGACTTTTGATCTTGACTACAATGAGATAATCTTTGATATCTGATATTATAAATGCCAGATGCTCAGTCAACTGAGTTTATTAGTCTCTACAGTATCCGTTTCTGACAAGATGAAGTCAAATATTTGTGCCGCTTTTGTTTTTTTCAGTTAGTATTTGCTAAATTTAAAGAATTTTAATCTCAAACAATTGCCGACTGAGTTTCTCGCCGGATCTTCTCAGTGGGTCGCGATTCCGATCCGATGGTAGATTCTAGGGGATTATTAGTAGGGCTAGTGTTAACGAATTCTCTCAGGTTCAGCCCGTGAGCTCACCTACTCGTCCGGGCTAATGGCTATGTGGAATAACCCCTCAGGCTACCAGCGAAAAGGTAGCAAAAGAAAAAAAAAGAAAAAACAATCTTACCATATTTACCATATATTTTTTCTCCAGCTTTCTCGACTACTGCTTCAGCATTGCCAACATCGGCAACTTCAAGTGATCTACCATCAAGAATAGTGAATGGTTTTCCGATTGATATAACTGAAATTCCGTACCAAGCTTCCTTGAGACGGAGCGTGGCGTCAGGATGGGCACATTCCTGTGGAGCTGTGATCATTAGCAACAATGCGGTATTGACGGCTGCACACTGTGTTGATTCGTGAGTCCTAATTTCTTTTTTTGCTTATAGTTCTATAAGTTTACCATTTACTGGCACGAGCATTGTTTTGGAAACATCGCAGTATCTTCTAATGACAAATACCGTAGTGTTTTCACAAAAAAAATGAGACCAGCTTAGTCCGGTGATAGCTCATGGAATTAAAATATGGCCGGCCACTTTAATGATCCTTATGATAAGTTTTAAAATTAACCAAGTAGCTATGAAGTTGATTATACTCGTAGTCTTTCTGTGACATCCTTAGATACGAATCCTTTAAAGCAGTTATATGTTTGAAGGAAGGGACAGTCGCTACTTCATAAAATGTGACCTAGATTTTGTCACTCGATATGGATGGGAGGATTCAAATTGCGATGTCTATGATTTCCGGTAACTATTTAAAAACCAGGCCCCGTTTAATTAAGAAAATTATAGAAATAAAGTGTTGTTCTCCCTGGGATTGAAGAGTTTCTGAGTAACCTCCACATTCGTTGGATCATGATGAAAATTCACAAGCATCAACACTAAAACTAATTTCAATTCCTTCCAGCTATGTCTTAGATCCGTCAGTTTTAAAAGTAGTCGTTGGAACATCGTACCGACTTTCAGGAGGACAATCGTATATGATATCGAGAATCATTGCTCATGAACAGTATTTACAATCTACTTTAGAAAATGACATTGCTGTTGTAGGAACATCTAAAACAATGACTTTCAGTGCAAGTGTTAATTCCGTTGCTATTGCTTCATCAACTTTATCTTTACCGATCGGATCTGAAGCACTTGTATCTGGATATGGGACAACATCAGTGAGTATCGTTTTTAGAATAGATCTATTAAAAATGTATGTTCTTCATGAAAACTATTATTCCATCTATATAATTTATACTTGTTGTCTTTTTATCATAACTAGTCGTCCCCCAGTAGTCGAAATTCGACTATAATTAATTTAAATTATAAGCTTAAAAATATCCTTTAATCACAGATTTCGTTCGCCAAGACTACGCTATAGACAAATAATATTAAAGACAAACAATATTAACCTATTCTCCATTTGACCACAGAATTTAACAAAAACAAAAGAGTATATATGCGTGTGTGTGTGTCAAATACCTACAAGCTAGTGTGTGTAATGTTTTTTTTATTGATATAATGTATTTTTTATGCATAATTTGAAAAAAAAAATTACCATTCTGCACTCCTTCTCTATAATCTCTATAAGTGTGGGAAATTTCATACTCCTCCGTCCGTGCAATTTTCGTAAAAAAGGGTACAAAGTTTTTGCTTCACGTATTAATAAATAGATTACTTTTTAGTACGAAGGCACCACATCATCTGTCCTTCAAGCTGCTAAAGTCAAAGTTATCGCTCAAGAAACGTGTGCTCGGGCGTATTTGCGGATTACCCCGATTACCTCTGGAATGTTATGTGCCAACGCTACCCAGCCACCAAGGGATGCCTGCCAAGGGGACTCGGGTGGTCCTTTAGTAGCAGACAACGTTCTAGTCGGTGTCGTGTCCTGGGGTGAAGGCTGCGCTGATGCTTTATACCCAGGAGTCTACACAAGGGTTTCTGAATATAATTCATGGATTGTACGCAATGTTGGACTTTTATAAATTTCGGTTTTTTGCGATTACAAAGATCTCATTTCATTTGAAAGCTGAGTTAAATATTTGAGTTAAATATTTGTGTGGTATTTTTAATAAAATAAATGTCTGAACTAAATTAAAGTAATTGAATAAAGATTACATATTTTTTTTAATCAAAGCAAAATGAACATTCACAATAAGACAAATCATGACCATAATAAAATGTCTCATATCATTCAGATACATTTATTTACGTTAATAAAATAAATAATGTTTACTAAGCCCAGTATTCATAGATTTCTCTTGTTTTTCTGTGATAAAACAAACAAACAAGAAAGTTTATTGACCTCACTTGTTTACGTCAATCGGTGAAGAAACTAACTCGTAAAGCGATCAATTAATGAAACAATAACTAATCAATTACACCTATCCGGGTGCTGGGCGTTTGTCAAATCACTTAAGCTACCCTTTGTGTCCGATAAGTGTCGTATTCTCATAGCAAACGACTTTTTCCATAAAATTGGGTAAATTATCGGGCTTATATAGTTTTTTTTAATACAAGTAATTCAATAAATTTATGTAAAAATGGACAGGTTTTAGCTATCCAAATTCCGAAAAATAGATAAGAAATTAGTTTATAATTAATTTTGTCTTTAAGTCGTAAAACGAAGCACCGTTTTTTGTATTAATATTTTGTGGAGTCAGCTTTTTGTGACGTTAAATTTAGTTTATTTAAGATATCTCATTGTTTTGGAAATAGTGTCCTTCACTAGCTGCCCCGTGTCGGCTGACAAAGATCGCACGGCGCCCACTTGCTTGCTGATTACATTATCGATTGACTCTGTTTGCAGTAAAAATCAATTTTTAAACTGTTTTTGGGCACACCTTTTTTGTAATCATTAATTCTAACACCTAATCATTTTCTATTGGTGTTTGTTACATTCATCCACCATAAATGTTCACAGTGCTAATTTATCTATAAGTGTATTAAGTGGAATAAGCGACAGAGCGTTTTATGAGCCCGCAACGGGTTGGTAGTGCAGTACTGCCTTTTCCTGCGAAAGAGCAATCATACGTTCCATTTATTTTAAAATGATGCTAATTCCTAACTTGATCCTTGTCCTCATATAGGATAATTATCTATCTATATATATAAAAATGAATTGCTGTTCATTAGTCTCGCTAAAACTCGAGAACGGCTGGACCGATTTGGCTAATTTTGGTCTTGAATTATTTGTGGAAGTCCAGAGAAGGTTTAAAAGGTAAATAAATATGAAAATGTTTGGAATTAAATAAAAATAAAAATTTTGTTTTCCCTTTGATGTGTCCCCCGTCGGACGGATTCCTTTTGTTTGTTTTTAGTTTATTTTATACAAAAGTTTATGTCTTTTATTTCTCGATTGAGGCACTACGAAGTCTGCCGGGTCAGCTAGTTATATATATAATTATCAAGGACAAATGAAGTTTACCCGTTGCCTAGTTTAACCCCCAACAGACCTTTATGTTAAAATAAAAATTCTTATAAATAGATTTAGAGGATATTATTTTGTTATTATAAGAATTATCGTAAAATTGCGGATAAAAATAAATTAAATCTAATAGATCAAGTACATTTTTAACACGTCAACACAGACTGCTGTTTGATTGATCACCTCGTCTGAATCGACTCGAGATCTTATACTGATTAGAATAAATTCTAGAATCGACCCCTGCGACAATATGGATTACTTAAGGGACACGTTTACAAAGTCGAAGTGTTATGGGTAATTCTTAGAAACGAAATTAACAAAAAGACAGTATTTATCCTAATTTATTTGGAAATTCGAAAGATGTTCATTTCAGAATTTACATTTAATAAAAAAATTCTGAGTTATTACAAGGTATTATTATTTATAAATTATTTGAAATACGTACTCAACAAATGTTCACGATTGACTTCCACGGTGAAGGAATAAATAACATCGTGTAATAAAAATCAAACCCCCAAAATTATAATTTGCGTAATTATTGGTGATGAGTCCGCACGGGTAGGTACCACCACTCCGCCTATTTCTGCCGTGAAGCAGTAATGCTTTTCGGTTTGAAGGGTGGGGTAGCCGTTGTAACTATACTGAGACCTTAGAAATTATATCTCAAGATGGGTGGCGCATTTACGTTGTAGATGTCTATGGGCTCCAGTAACCACTTAACACCAGATGGGCTGTGAGCTCGTCCCCCCACGTAAGAAATAAAAAATAAAAATTTTATTACGAAATTTACTCTTGAAAGAGTTTAACTTTTAAACGGCTAGAACGACAGTGGGTTTTTTGGTATTTGTTGTATAGCCTACATATTATATAATATTATCTTAAAATACTAGCTTATAATACTACTACTATAATACTAGCCTCAAAACTACATATTATATAATAATAGCATCTAAAGTTTTGTTTTTGATACTTTTTAAAGACTGTCATCTTTTATCGGTTATGAGAGACCATGAGAATACAGTAAACTAGTAAAAAAACGCCTAAAATAATTTCCTACCAGTCCTGTCGTAAGACCTATCAGATACAAATCTAATTACGTGCCAAAAACTACTCCAAAACCAACCTTCATCCGAACATAATGATCGGAAAGTATAATAATCTGTATTAAATACGAAGAAAGCTTCTGACACCCCATCGTAATCCGTTTCCTTATTCTAGACTGCTTCATAGAACTTGTAATTTCAAAACACAAACAAAGCTGAAACTTATCTCGCGATGATAATGTTGAAAGTCGTGTAGCAAAATTAGTTCGAGACCTTGTCAATATGAGCGCAGAAATTTATTTACGACACCCCCTCATTTAGCAGTCGAGCGTCCCTTTCTACTTTATATAAAGTGAGTATATTTTGTCTCCCTCTTACGCTGTAATGAATTTTGGGGTGATTTTGAATTAACAATACCATAGACATAATTCGAGAGCTTGTTGTGGGGATTTACGTTAACACGATAATTTGATAGGTTTTTATTAGTTTTTATTGATATTTTTATGATATTGTGCGCTCTTTTGTGATTATTATCAAGCGTTCGCTTTATGAAAAAAGAAGGTTTTTGTATTCTCTATAGGCAAGTATTATTATTTCAAACAAAAAAAAATATATTTTTAATTATTAATTTTTTTCCGCTTATATCTAGATCAATGGTATTGAAATCTACACGAACGTCCTTAGGAACGCATTCTCCCATAGTAATAGCCCACTGAGTTTCTCGCCGGATCTTCTCAGTGAGTCGTTATTCCGATCCGTTAGGAAATTCAGCAAAGCACTACTCTTGCTAGGACCAGTGTTAGCAATTCTCTAAGATGAACCCCGTGAGTTCACCTGCCGCTTCGCGCGAAGTTGGAATAGCCCCAGCTATCGACGATTAGGTAGGGAAATAAAACGCATTCATTTTTAAAATATTTCAATATCGACAAGTATCGGTTTAATACATCGATATAACGGCGCGTCACTATTCGAATGACGCGTATTCCATTCGATTTAGGGGTGGCGCAGACGGCAATATCATTTGTGATTACATGCCGGGTGACGTCACAGCTTAACGTCTTACAATACCACTAAGCTATCTCTCATTTATAGATCATTCAATAAACTAATTGTTATAAATTATACTGTATAAACTAAAGTGACCTTTACGAATGGAATCATAAATTAATATTTATTATTCTGATAAACTTGAAAAAAATATCTAATGACCCAATAATTCAATATCGAATACGCCCTGTATTCTTATTGTTATGATTTTTATTCTACTGTTAATAAATCATGTTCTTTTACTTATTAGTAAACTAATTTGATAGATTTAAGACGGGCTGGGTCAAAGTCTGTCTTCCTTAGAAGCCAAAGTATTGCATAGCATTCTATTTAATCTATAATATTTCATTATAAATCTGATTAGCTTCACTCCAACACCTCAAGTCAAACAATTCAACAAAAACACAATAGCTATTAGTTCGCCTATAATTTACAGGAAGTTTGTAGGGTCATTTTGATAGCGTAATATAGTTAGTACATAGTTACTTTTATGTGAGTTACATTTGGTTGGTTGTTTAATTCTCTAATTGTTAGTTTGCTGTCCTAATTATATCTTAGCTTTATTAATGAATGGTATTCCAGTTTGTATTTGATGTATTTAAATCAGTAGTATAATCGTCCACGTCGAAATGCTGTCAATAATTTCATTCATTCATTCGATTAGGCTGTCGAGCTTCTAAATCCCAATAAGTAAGTGTAATGCTATAGTTCCTCGGCCTATTACCTGGCAATTTCACAGAACAATCTACGTCGGATCACGTCGACAGCACACAACAATGTGACACACACGAGCTTTGTATCCGAGAAGGACGGCACTCCGTCCCGCGATTTGTTTACACAGTGTAGCTTTCCCTTTCGCAGTGCGCGTGTGTGCGTGACCATCTGGCGGGCGGCCGCGCGTTGCCAACCCTAAGCTTGTATTAGTGTCGCCCCCACACCGAAGAGCACCCCGTTTCGGGGTAGTCGGTATTGAGAATGTGTGCGTGACCCAGTCGAATAAATCTAATGGATACACACAAACATATTGGTGGCACTGCGTGTCATTTTTACGCTTGTGTTGTCGCTACTTGGGGTTCTTTAAGCGATGCGATGATATTATTATTCTGACGATTACGACCTCTTTTATGCTTACAATAAAATAATTAATAAGGGATGGATGGTATTGTTGTGTCGCTGTTAGCGATTCGTATCGTGGTACTTACATTCATTTACGCTTTAAAAACATAACGATAAAGTTGAACAACTTAGTTGTTATGACGGCTGAATTGTTTATAAAATGAGTGGGTTATTTGTTTCATAGTTTAACGATAATTACAAACAAAGAAATAGAGCTACAAATGAATTTAACTTTTGCCTAATTTTAATTAATAACTTTCAAGACAAGAAAAACATCATCATTTATCAAACGGTTTGATTGATTTTATACCAGTAAGCGACTAAGACAAAGTGTTAACTTGTTCAAATAATT